AATTCTACGGGATTTTGCTTGTCTTCGTTACAGACCACTACTGCGCATTTTTCTACGTTCGCCGACAGTCTCCATTTTCGGGTGTATCCTACTGCCGCATCTATTTAGCTAAGGAGGGGGGGGCGGTATCAATCATCATTCGCTAGAGGGGTGGTGGTTGTTGTTGTTGTTTCTCACATTAGCTCTAAAAAAGAAAGATTGGGAGCCCGTGGTCTCAAAACCCGGCATACACGACCCCACGAAGAAACAGAAAAAAATAGGGTACAAAAACCACTCGGAAGAGAAACAAAATGATAGAAAGAAAGACCAGCTACCGCACCAAACGAGAAAGAGCGTCGAGGAGACCGATCAAAATAAAATAAAAGGAGAACGGGGAACGCTTCCCACACCCGCCTACAACGCCGGAGGGTTCCGTGCCGGGTTCCCGCCGACCAGGCATCCCCCGCCCTGCACCACACCCCAGGGGGTGCAGCAAGACGGGGGGCGAAAAACAAACACATATATATTCCCACAAAAAAAATAAAAAATCGAAGGACAACGTACACCAGTACCAGGTACTACAGCAGTGCAGTATGCACCAGCGCATTAGTGTAGGGTAGGCACCGCACCAAAGAGGCAGCAGAGGTGGCAGGCAGCCAGCAAAGGAAAAAACAAAAATAACAAGGAGCTCGAGGTATCGTCCATGATCATCGTAGAGAGGGCATGGAGAACAGGAAAGAAAGAAAGTGTCATATTAAGAAAAATAAAAAAAAAGAAGAAAAGCACAAAGAGAGGCCGGAGGCAATACTAAGAGCNATATTCCCACAAAAATACAAAAATAAAAAATCGAAGGACAACGTACACCAGTACCAGGTACTACAGCAGTGCAGCAGTATGCACCAGCGCATCAATGTAGGGTAGGCACCGCACCAAAGAGGCAGCAGAGGTGGCAGGCAGCCAGCAAAGGAAAAAACAAAAATAACAAGGAGCTCGAGGTATCGTCCAAGATCATCGTAGAGAGGGCATGGAGAACAAGAAAGAAAGAAAGAAGAAAAGCACAAAGAGAGGCCGGAGGCAATACTAAGAGCATACAGCTTACGGCAGGGAAAAGGGAACACAGGGTGCGACAACATCATCAGTTGGGTACGTCGTTCGCCGCAAGCGCGGCCTTGGCCGCCCTACTCGCTTCTACAGCAGTGTCCGGTCGCCGTTTGTTCCCCCCCCCCGCCGCTTCCCCGATTCTCTTTCTCTTCGGGCCCGGGGCGGCCGTACTCTCCGTCTCTGCTTCCTCCGCGCGCTGGCGCTGGCGCTTCGCGGATGCTTCCGCCTCCTGTCTGTGCCATTTCCTCATGAACCATGCCGCCCCGTCCTCGATCTTGTCGTGTCCATCATCAGCTAGGGAGGGGGGGTGCTATCCATCGTCATCAGCTAGAACGGAAAAAAAAACACTTCGAAAAAATCCTTCCCCGGCTGGTGGTGGCGCTGCTGCTGATTGTTTGAACAGGACGCTTCCTCCACCGCTTTAGGCAACAGCAGCAGCAGCAGCAGAGGCGACACACCCTCTCGCCCACCATGAGTGTAGAGAGATGCACAGCACAGTAGTAATATTACATCGTCTAGGAACAAGGGTGATGTGTTGCTGGTTCGTGGTGGGATGTATGCATGTATGTGTGCTCTCTTTTCCCCGCCTGCCTCCTAACAAAGTAGGCCCCGCTCCCGGCGCCGCACGAGCAGAACAAAACAACAACCAATCGATGGACCCACAGAGAACCAACCAGTAATATATATCTCCTCTCACTTCCTCCGCCGAAAGCTAACAGCAGCAGAAGTATAGGGCACCCCCTGCTCCCGTCCCGCTCTCGCTGTGTGGTGTGTGCAACACACGCCGTATAGCAGCAGCAGCGGACGAGAGCCTAAAAATTCACGCCTGCCTCGGTTTCTAGCGGGGACCTCGCTTCCCGACTTCATTTCGGCGTAGATGCTTCTAACTCGATGCGCTGGGCATAGATTGAGCTGGAAGCAATAGCGAAAACTTGGGCAAAATGTTGCTTGTTGGACACAAGTCTCAGACTTTGATTTGGGGCCTAGACTAAATGGTGAAATGAGCTCCACTCTCGTGGGTTGTTATTGCACATACATCGTACCCGGCACGATGCAGAAAAAAGGCTGTGTTTTTTGCCCCCCCCCCTCTAAACAGCTTTTGCACACCTCCACGATGACACTTTTGACACCATTACGTCCGCCCAGTAGTTTTTAGTCGTGTCCTAGCGATATTCCTACTTCGCTTCGCAGTTTACGTACTGTCGTGCGATGCTGTGCTTTCCTGCGATACACTTGCCCGTGAAAATCAAGCGCGAACAATACAATACTTTTCAACGAGCAACTTCGCCGCCTTGTGAAGGGCCGATTCGCCGCCGCTGGAACACCCGACCGAGCGAATGCTGGCGGTGCGCGAAGTGGAACACCTTTATCTTGCCCTGTTTCAGTCCCAGATTTTGGGAACACTCGAGGCACGTGAATGGGCCCTGCACCTTCGAGCAGGAGGGCACCACGAGATTGCCTGATGGGGTTTGGGCCACGGGGATGTGGAGGGGCATTTATTTAACATTTGAAATTCAATATCGGGATCATGGAAAAACTTATAGTAATTTGCCTAGTCGGTACAGGGGCGCGGTTTTCGGGGGCACCGGTTTCGATGCGCTCCCTCGCTCTGGCACAGACCGTTGCGTCGTCGAAGAAGTAGGCAATTGTGCCCTTCGGAGCAGAAAGGCGCACTGGGGGAGAGGGGTGATGCTTCATCTCCCGCTCCTTTCGGAGCGCCCGCAAGTGTTTCAATTTGTAACACCTGGCGCTTAGGGGGTGTGAGAGACCATCAACGTTCGCAGACGAGCAAGCTCGTTGCCTACCGGGTAGCCCATGTGCAAATCATAGCTATTGCAGTGAGATTTCAACCATTCGTCGACAGCCAATAAACAACAGCATGCGCTTGAAATTGACACATTAAAATATTTTCATCTTGTAACCAAATCCAACACAATCCAACAGCATGAAGTTCAGGCAGTTCAGGGTTTTCGACGATCAATCGTGGAAGATGGTATACATTGGCTCAGAGGAAGAACTTCGTCGTATCAAGAGGACGAACTTCACCAACATCAACGATAAACGAAAGATTTTAGACCAAGATCAACACAAACGCAGGAAATGCGGAAGGAAAGTGTCCATCGAAAGAATGGATTTCGACATTGACCACATACAACCGGTCAAGTATTCCGGACCGACACACCTAGACAACCTTCAAGTTCTTTGTACCGGTTGCCATAGACTGTTTGTGTACCACCGTGACCATCCACGGAGGTTGCCGTGCCCACCCACGGTATGATGTCTGTCTGGGGACTATGTTAACCTAGAGGACCGATGCAGATGATATATACCCTTGACTTACACACACGTGCTCTTCCAGTACGGACCATGTTAACCCAGAGGACCGATGCAGATGATATATATCCTTGATTAACACACACGTGCTCTTCCAGCACGGACCGAAGTCAGTACAGGTCCTGTTTCAGTGAACACAAGCGCGGGCTCTCACGAGGGAGGCCGCACTTGGACCCCCAACAGTATACCCCCCGCACACATGTTCTCTGCAGATCGGATCTTGTATCCAAGTACCCCAAACAGCCCCCCTGCTTGAAACAATATACGATCTGGAAGTCCAAGGTAGATTATCTTCCAACCAATACAAAAACACAAAAAACCACTCGAGAAACATCCTCTACAAAACTGGTTACGCATTTAACGCAAAGCGTCTCCATCACTTTATCCATGAACCCAATGCATTCTCAAACCGTCAAACAAAAGAATCATCCTCAGAAGAGTACCCAACAAATATCTGCGCTACATCAGAGAAGAGTCAGAACGGTGACGGACAAATCAACAGCTTCAAAATAGTTGACACAACATCTTCAAACAACACAAAGTTTCAACTACTTGACCAATAAAAGCAAGCATTCGGAAAGCACAAAGGCCCCAACCATTACTCGTCAAAACATGTCAAACCCTTCCTCCAATATAGCGTCCAAGGACCAAATCCTAAACAGCGCGTACATGCTATCGGTGCCTCAGCTGTTGTCCAAGAGACGATAGAGATATAAGCAAATATCCATGCAAGCAGCCCCCATGCCGCAACATTTCCCGGAACATGCAAATTTTGTGCCACCCTTCTCTCAATACCAATATCAATACGTAACAGCCCCCCAGCTGGAACATTTCCCCGAAACATGCAGATTTGCCTGCGTTTTCTTCCCCTCCTACTCAACCATCCGAAGATCTCAAAACATCAAAGTGTATGAAACAGCCCCCCAGCTGGAACATTTCCCCGAAACATGCAGATTTGCCTGCGTTTTCTTCCCCTCCTACTCAACCATCCGAAGATCTCAAAACATCAAAGTGTATGAAACAGCCCCCCAGCTGGAACATTTCCCCGAAACATGCAGATTTGCCTGCGTTTTCTTCCCCTCCTACTCAACCATCCGAAGATCTCAAAACATCAAAGTGTATGAAACAGCCCCCCAGCTGAAACACGCCCTGCAAACACAAGAAAAACATATACGCATTCGCTAGTGTTGCGTCTGGAATCATGACAACACATGTCCTCCCCCCCTGATTCTCGACGCAAAACACAGCTTAGGAAATGCGTCCACAAAAAAAAAAAACACTTACTGAATATTCATCACAAAATCACAGTGGAAGCAAAACGCGCTCTTGTGCAACGGTTTCTTGAGAAAATCCGCATGCTGAAAAGTCGTGGGCACGTGCACATTCTTAAACTCTCCCCGTCCTACACGCTCCCGAAGAAATTAGTGACGAATGTCGATGTGCTTAGAGTTCGGTGTGGTAGCGGGGTTGACCTCAAGGTGAAGTGCCCCCTCGTTATCCTCGAACACCAGTGTGTACCCGACATCGCGACCCGGAAAAATAAAACCCCAAATATACCGCAAGAAAATCGCCTCCTTCATAGCGTCAGCCATCGCAACATACTGTGCTTCCGTCGACGACAGGGTCACACTTTTCTGCGTCCTAGATAACAACGAAACACATGCACCGTCGCACATCACAACTGCTCCCGAGACCGACCGCCGGTTAGTGGCCCGGCTGGCATAGTTGGAGTCAACATACAAGCGCAAATCGATACCCTCCCTTGAACCCCGCTGAAATGTAATACCAAGAGCTCGTGAATCTAATGTACATCGCAATATGCAACGCAGCCCGCCAGTGTATGCTCTTAGGTGCATGGGAATACCTCGCAACGGACCCCACGGCATTAAGGATATCCGGCCGAGTCTGGTTAGCAAGCTACATGAGATGACCTACCAAAGAACGAAAAGGCTCAAGAAAATCAGGTTCGTCAGCAGAAAAATCATCAAGCTTCACTCCAACAGGCATCAGGGTCTCCTTGTTGCGCGTGACACCAAACTTCGCAACCAAGCTGACAGCAAAAGTTTCTTGCGACAATGTAAGCGTTCCAGCATCCCAATCGCGTGAAAAACGAACTCCCGCATACAAGCGCAACGCTCCGAGGTTGGTGATGGGAACGTAGGCGTTCAAGTCTCGGCCAAACCTGTCACACCTACTCTTCCGCCCGATGGAAAAAATGTCATCCACATGCACCACAATTACCATGGAAAGCACACCATCCTCGATCAAACGCATGACACACGCATCAGCAGCACATTGGTCAAACCCAAGCGATTTCATGCCCTGAACAAGGTGGTGGTGCCACGTGCGTGACGCCTGCTTCAAGCCAAAAAGACTACGGGCAAGTCTCACAATCTTACCCGAAAGGGGCCCACAACCCTGCGGCAGACGCACGTACACGATCTCATCTAGCTTCGATTGCACAAACGCTTGATCAGCATCACAGTGGCACACGTCCCAACCCATTTCACACGCGATAGCAGACAAGGGGCGAATACTCGGATGGGTAGGGCACGGGGAAAAAGTCTCAAAATAGTCAAAACCTTCACGCTGACCGAAACCCCTAGCGACAAGCCGAGCCTTTGCACGCAACACATCACCGAATTCATCAGGTTTCCACGTGTAGACCCATTTGGCAGAGATGACGTTCGTTCCTCGTTGCTAGAGCCCTCCTGCCGGCTCGAACGTGCCCGCCCCAACCAGACCATCCATTGCTGCAGGTGTGGCGCTGTGGGAGGTACGGGAGGGGTGGGCGGGGGGGAAACAGACAAGGGTAAACTCTCCCCCCGCTCGCGCGCCCTTTCTCCCCGCTCAAACTGCTGCCGTTGCCGTTGGCGCCGCTCCCGCCGTCGCTGCTGCGGAAGCCGCCGCCGCCGCCGCCGCCACCGCTGCTGCTGCTGCGGCCGCTACTACCGTCACCGCCGTCGCCGTTGCCACCGCCCCCCGGAGCTCTGGCCGAAGCCACCACTCATGTCGCGGCGCGTCCTGCTGTCGCCGCTCCTGATCATGGTGTTGTCGGCGAAGGGGCTCGGCCGAAGCTGTCCGCCGAAGCTGTCCGCGCCGCCGCCGGTTCCGATGATGGTGCTGTCGGCGACGGGGCTCTGACCACAGCGTCCGTGCCGCCGCCGCCGCCGCCGCCGCTCCCGGTGTTGCTGCCGCTTGGTGCGAAGCATCACCCCCCGGCATGTGCCCATGCATCTCTACCTCGATCGAATGGGAGGTCCACTCCCAGCACGGCCCCCCTGGTCGCTCTCCTCCACCGGGACCGCTTCCCTCTGTCAAAGGGATGCGTTGACGCTTCATGCCAGGCCGCGCCGTCTCCGCCGTCGCCGCTGCTGCTGCTGCGGCCACCGCTGCTCCGGTCCTCCTTACCACCGCTGTTGTGATCTCCCTCTTCACGCACCTCCTGCGCAAATAATCCTCCCGGGTCAAAAGGGTACGACGCGCCCCTCTCGAAACCGTAGATGTCGTCGTCTCCACCGCTGCTGTAGGTCAGGCCGCCGCTGTCGGCGCACGTATCTTGACTGCCCGGCGCCAACGCGGCAACCGGGGACGCCGCTGCTACTGCTGTCCCAACCGCCGCCGTTTCCGTCGCAGCCACTGCCGTTGTCGCTCCATGCGGCGTTACTCCTGCCACCGCAGCTCTGACCGAAGCCGCCGTTGCGACCGCCGGTGCGGATGCCGTTCCACAAATCCCAACCGTTGAAGATGGGGCAGCAGGACGGATCTCATCGGCATGGTTTGCTGTGGGTGATGGCACAAGTGAGGCTGCTGGCTGTTGCTGCTGCTGCTGCTGCTGCTGCGACGGTGACTGCTTGGGTTGTTGCGATGCCGCGGATGGCGAAACTACAATAACGCTGTATGGTCCGGGAATCTGCCGCATTGCTACACTTTTACTGTACCCGGCCTCCATGAGATCCAGTTCTGCGCGTTTCCGCGCTACTGCCGGTGCTACACGTGATGTCGTGGGTCGCGGGGGAGAATGAGTGGCGGGGTGCGTAACTGCGTTGGGAGAAGATACGTTGGCGGGGGCTTTTACCAGCAACGACGCCACAAACGAACCGGCAGCAGCACCCCCCCCCTTCTCGCCAACAACCACCCCACCACTCAACTGTCCAACCACACCATGGGTGGAGCCGGCCGCCAGCTGTTGTTGCCGCGGCTGCTGCTGAAATCCACCAGTGCTGCCATACACCATGCCTGGCTTCTGCCGCTGTTGTTGCTGCTGCTGCTGGAACACAGACCCGCCGCCAAAATCACCGTTCCTCCGCTGCTGAAACGGTCCGCGGGCGAGGTTGAACTTGCAACACTGATGTACATGACCTTGCTCTCCACAGCAGCTGCATTGGTGCTGCTGCTCGGGAGGGGGAGCAGCGGNTGCCTGGCTTCTGCCGCTGTTGTTGCTGCTGCTGCTGGAACACAGACCCGCCGCCAAAATCACCGTTCCTCCGCTGCTGAAACGGTCCGCGGGCGAGGTTGAACTTGCAACACTGATGTACATGACCTTGCTCTCCACAGCAGCTGCATTGGTGCTGCTGCTCGGGAGGGGGAGCAGCGGGACGGCGTGGGCGTTCGTTGGGCACCAGCTGCTGCTGATGCTGGTACCGGCTGTGCCCTGTGAGGACGTGGGTGCGGCGGCTGCTCTGCTGCTGCACTCCTCTCGTCACCTGCTGCTGGTGTCCACCGTACCACACATGGGGCTTCTTCCCCTCTCTCTCTGAAAAAAATTGATTTGGATCGATCCTTCCGTCCTTGTCAAAAAGTAACCTACCTGGTCCACCGGGCCCACCCCCGGCATGTACACCTCCTCCAGCTGCCCACCCAGCTTGACCACCTGCTGCCTTCCCNGAGGACGTGGGTGCGGCGGCTGCTCTGCTGCTGCACTCCTCTCGTCACCTGCTGCTGGTGTCCACCGTACCACACATGGGGCTTCTTCCCCTCTCTCTCTGAAAGAAATTGATTTGGATCGATCCTTCCGTCCTTGTCAAAAAGTAACCTACCTGGTCCACCGGGCCCACCCCCGGCATGTACACCTCCTCCAGCTGCCCACCCAGCTTGACCACCTGCTGCCTTCCCAGCACTCTCTAACGCAGCGATCTTGTCCATCGCTAGTTGGACTTTCTTCCTCAATTCCACTACCGCCCTCGCCGCGGCTGCTGCCCTCTCCGCAGCTGCTTCCTTCTCTGAAGCATGTTCATCCGACATTGGTCGAACTTATATCGATTAATCGTGTTTGTGTACCCCCGTGACCACCCACGGAGGTTGCCGTGCCCACCCACGGTATGATGTCTGTTTGGGGACTATGTTAACCCAGAGGACCGATGCAGATGATATATATCCTTGATTAACACACACGTGCTCTTCCAGCACGGACCGAAGTCAGTACAGGTCCTGTTTCAGTGAACACAAGCGCGGGCTCTCACGAGGGGGCCCGCACTTGGGCCCCCAGCCGTATCCCCCCTGCACACATGTTCTCTGCAGATCGGATCTTGTATCCAAGTACCCCAAACATAGACAGAAAACATTTCAACAGTCCAAATGGAGTGTGGACAAAGATTTCACAGGTCAGTGCGACTCACTCTATGTGTTTCAAAAATTCGAAAACAAGATTGTCGGTGCGATGACGCGTCGGAAATTGGGGTATCTAGAGGCGGGAGTGTACACCATGCAAAAAGAGCCAGCTGAATTCAGACCAAACAAAAGGAAGCGGGCTCACGGCGAGGAATACATACAGTTCATGGTCACGGCTATCGACAGAATTTGCAAAGCCGTGGGGTTTAGCGGTATCGAGGACAGGACATCTGAGCTACCGCTGAACGAAATAAAAGGGCCACAACACGCGAACACCATACTTCTCTTAAAGGAGGCCCTGCCGAACTCAAGAGGACGACGTAGATGTAATACCCAGTCTCTCGTAAATACACTCAATAGCTTGTTACAAACGCACACAAAAATGTCACTAGTTTCTCGCAAAAGGCAAGTGGCGAAAAAACGGGATCGTATATACAACATTGTTGGGTCAACGCAAGAGAGACTTTAGATAGCGAAAGGAGTTATTTCGTTTGAATCGGAATATTCTGTAGCACACGAAGGCTCACGGAAAAACTCTTTTTTTTGCCTACCCGGTACAGGGTCTCGCGTTTCGGGGGCAATGGTTTCGACGCGCCCCGCCGCCCTGGCACAGACCGTCGGCTCGCCGAAGAACACGGTAATATCAGTGTGCATCCGTTCGGGAGAGGATGCATCAGTAGTTGCATCGGGCTCCGGAGCCTTTCGGAGTCTCCACAAATGTTTCAGTTTTTGCAACAAGCGCATAGCTCTGACACGCGATATATACAGCGCCGTCAATTTCCAACATCGGTTCTTCAAACACTATCAACCAACTGTACCACCGGTGCAAGCAACGCTTAGCGCCACGGATATCGAGTCCATCTATGAATCCTTCAATCCATAAAGCACACTTGTGCGCCACCAATTTCTTCTCGTGATTGATATTCCTCCAGGGAGGTCGTGCGTTTTCAAGTGTCGCGGCCTCATGAAACTTTAAAACTCTTCGAGACAGGTCTTCAGTCTGCAATCCCACCGTGTCAACACGTAGTGTTTGGCAATTAAGACAGCAACGCGCGCCCACATTCCAAGCTCATCTGGTATCAACAGCGGTGTTTTACACGAGTTCCTGAACTTGCTCAAATGAGAACCTCCGTGCCTTTCGGGTAGTACATATGCAAATCAAAGCTCTTGCAATGAGATTCAAACCATTCGTTTGAGTACAGCGTGTTTTTCAAGTAGATGGGGGCTAAAGTACCCACAAGCGAGTAGGCTGCGGGGGAGTGGCCTTTGCGACGGACCCTGTGATTTTTCAGCTTGTACCTCATAACTTTCTCCAGGTAAAAGTTGAACTATGACAACGCCTCCTCGCCTCTAGGCTTCCTATCCAGCTTCAACGTGGTAGCGAGGTTGAAGATATGGTAGCGAAGTCTACTTTTTTTGGCCTCCTCAGAAATGTTTCCCGTATCAACCTTGGTGGACGACGAACCATCTACGGAATATTTTCTAAAAACGAGGGATAAGTTGCACATCAGGATTCACCAAATCTAGATAGTCCTTCATGATCATCGTGTTTGAGTGTATCTTCTGAACCACTTCAGATTGGAAACGACTGATGAACGTTCGATTATGAATTGCTTTCTTCCTGTTGAACTCTGTGACGAAATATGCATCCACGTGGTGACCATAGTGCCTTTGTACGAGATATTTTTGGATTTTCGCCATATCCTCTGGTGTAGCATGGCCCCTTATTTTTTTTCGGATATTATACCCTTCAATCCCATGATCGTGACATCCACTGCCTTCCTTATTATACCCTTCAATCCCCATGATAGTGACATCCACTGCATTCAGGAGAGCTTTAGCATCAGCCGTGATCATATCCTTTTTATCGTTCATATCGCCCTCAATTTCAGAAGCTAGCTTGTTGTCCACCAGTGTTTCCATTTTGTTTGCTGGTCCAAGGATGCCCTTCCTTTTCGACTATGGTCAAGAAATATCTCACCCAGTTCGTCATTTTCAGGTGATCCTGAACTCTCGCCCTCAACCACATACCCCCCCCCCATCCAGGCCCTCTGGCGGTCCCTATTAGGTGTGCAAGAAACTTTTGTTCGTGCAACCCGGCTGACACATCAAACAAATGCACGAGAGTTGTGTAGACTGGCGCTAGAACAAATGGGACGAAAATGCATACATACCTCGCCACTTCCTCGAAAGCGCAGTCCCAGTCGTGTGTGTGTGTCAGTGTGTCGTCAGAAGGAACAGGAATACCGGAAAACCATTGAACACCGGTAGCAGGAGGTGAGGGGACAAATGTACCAAGAAAGCGTCGTTTTTTTGTATGTATTCCACGTATGTCGAACAGTAACCCCAATCTAGAGGTTCCAGGGGAGGGTACCGGTTGCCCCAGTGGTCTAGTCGTGTCCTCGTAATCCGCTAGTCGCAGAGGTCGTGAGTTCGAATCCCCATGGGGTGAAAAATTTACGAAATTTGCGGGTGAAAGCGAAGTATAGCTAAAAAGCTGTCGTGAGTACCAAACTTCGACGTTAGCACCGTCGACGAGGGAAAGGGACGGCTGGACCCTCCTCGCGATAAAAATAAAATTCAGCACGCACCGCAGGAGGAAGGTGGGACATGAAAAGAAATAAAAAGAAAAAAAAGCCCTGGTGTTTACCCCGTCCTGTGTGACCCTGGATGGTTGTAGTTGTACGAAAAAATACACTGAAAAGTGCAGTACTCTACATACGCTGAAAAGTGTCGTACACGCCTCACCACGAAAAATGGGGGGACTGTCGCCATAATAAAAAGGACGAAAACACACACA